ATGGATCTCTTCGAATTTATCCTGCTTGGAATTAATTGAATCTCTCAGATGTTTAGATTGATACCTTTTATTATATTTGAAAAGTTTGGTGCCTTTATTTCTTCAAATATTTCTTGTGCCCCTTTCTCTCTCTATCTCTACCTTTTGGGCGTCTTATGATGTCTATGTTGATATGCTTGATAGTATCTCACAGATCCCTTAGGCTCTGTTCATTTTCCTTTGTTCTTATTATTTTCTTTCTGCTCCTCAGACTGAATAACTTTGCTTCACCCTAGTCTGATCTGCTATTGATTCATCAGGATTTTTCATTTCAATTATTGTACTTTTCAGTTCCAGAATTTCTGTTTTGTTCCTTTTATAATTTCTACCTTTTTATGATGTCTTCCTAAATTATTTTCCTGATTGTTTTTAGTTCTTTGTCCATGGTTTCCTTTAGCTTATTGAGCATATGTAAGACACTTGATTTAACATCTTTGACTAGTAATTCCAATGCCTGGGCTTCCTCAGGAATGGTATGTATCAAATTCTTTTTCTCATGGAATGGACTATACTTCCCTGTTTCTTTGTATGTTGTGTAATTTTTGTCATTGACTGGACATCCTGAGTACTATAATGCAATAAATCTGGAGGCCTGATTCTCCCACTTTTTGGAGGTTGCTGAGTTTTGCTTATTGAGGGCTGGAGCCATCAGATTGTGACTTTTCCAAGCTATTTTTGGTAGGTGTGTTTTCCTTGTTATGTGTGGTCACTAACATTTCTGTTCCCTTATTTCTATATGTCCAGATTCAAATAGGAAGGGGGGAGGTCCTGTCTCTTTAAATCTTCTCATTAATGTTGCTGCTGATAGGCCAAAACCAAGACAAGTGTCTGTGACAGTCTCTTAAGGCAACTCCAAATCAATCCAAGCACACAGACTCACATTTTCAGAGGACAAGGTCTAACCAACTGAGCTAACCGGCTGCCCTGAGAAACTTTTTAAAAGGAACCTACTGGGCTATCAGGTCCCCTTTAGCCTTTTCCACTTCTTCCTGCCTGTAATGCAGACAAGGCCTCCAGATTCATCAGGTCCTTGACAACTCCAGTGGACTAATGAACTAGGCCTGTTTTCCCTTCTCCCAGGCTGCTGCTGCTGTTTCTCCTCTTTTTATATTTTGTTAATATTTTATCTGCTAATTCTGTGTTACTTCTAGGTAAGTTTCAATTGACTACTCTCCTCACTATGGGTATTGTTTTCCTGTCTCTTTGCATGCCTGGTAATCTTTACTTGCATGCCAGACATTGTGACTTTTACCTTGTTGGGGGCTGGATATTTTTTTGGATTCCTATAAATATGTTTGAGATTTGTCCTGAGATGCAGTTAAGTTCATTGGAAACAGTCTGATGCTTCAGATTTGCTTATGTGATGTTAGGTGGATCCAGAGCAGTATTGAATCCAGAGCCAATAATCCCTTACTATTGGCAAGAACTTCCAGAGTATTCTACCCAGTGCTCCATGAATCATGAGGTTTAACAGTCTGGCTGGTGAGACTAGGTACTGTCCCCAGTGACAGTGTCTGTCATTATTCCCTGTAATCCTTTTGAATGTTTTTTTTCCCCCCAGCCTCACGTAGTTCCCTCATATACATTCTCTGATCACTGATCAGTGCTCTGCAGATCTCTGGGATTTTCTCTCTCTGCAGTTCTCCTATCTTCAGTATTCTGTCTTATGATGCTAGTTGCCTTGGTCTTCCCAGACTTCCATCTCCATCTCAATTCAGTGTGTTCCAGGTTCCACCTCGGTGCCCCTCCCTGCACCTTGACCTGGACAGTCACACAAGACAGTAAGCTAGGGCAACTATAGGACTCACCTTATTTGTTTCCCATCTCTCAGGGACCACCGGCCTTCATTGCATTGGTGTACAATGTCTTGAAAACCATTGTTTATGTATTTTGTCTTTTTTTAATTGTTTTAGGTATGAGAGTAAGTCTAATCTGTTACTCCGTCTTGGCCAGGAATGGATATCGTGATATTTAAAACATATCTTGATTTGGCCAATGTAGGATTATGATGTGTTTATCTGGCTCATGAGGTGACTTGATGGAACCCTGATGCCAGTGTACAGAATTTTCCCACTTTTGTGGGAATCTCCTTAGCCAATAGACCTTGCACACATGGATGTTGCCAGTTCTGGTTGCTATTATCAGGTTTTGTCAGGTTGTCCTGTCATGTAGAGCTGATTACTCTTTGATATTGTGTGGAAATGGCTGCTAGCCAAAATTGGATCCAAAATTTCCCTTTGTAGTGAGAAAAGACTCATACATATTGGTGCTATTTTTAGAAACATTCATAGAATGTACATGTACCTTCCAATCTAGGGATATGCATCTTCTCAATAACTTGTTTATATCAAGCTTTACAATCTTTCAGCAGGATTGCATACTTTTCTGCACTTAAGTCCTATTCTTCTCCAGACAAATTTATTCCTAGGACAAATTTTATTTTTTCATTTTGAATTTTTGGTCCTAGTACCAAGAAAAGCTATTGATTTTGTACAGTTGTCCTATTATAGAAGACTTTAAAACTGCCTTAATTTGTTTAGGTTTCTTTTCTTACAGGAGTCACTTGGATGATCTAACTACACAACATTTCTTCTACATATAAAGAAAATTTTGTCCTTTCTTTTCCAATGTGTAGAGTTATTTTTTTTTCTTATCTTATTAGCTAAAACCTCCAAACACAATGTTGGAAACAGTGGTGAGTCATTCCTGTTTTGTTCCCAATTTTAATGACAATGGCATTTAAGTACCTTATGTCATATGCCATCTTTCTTTGGTAATCATTTAATTTGATAATCATGCTCAAAGTTTCCTTACATTTCTATTTGACTTTATATAAGAAATGAATGTTGAATTTTAGAGAAAGCCTTTTCAGGCTTTATGTAATCATACATGTTTGCACACTTGAGCCTCTGTTTCTTTATCTGTGAAGTGAGGATAATGATAGTATTTTCCTGATAGAACATCATGAAGATTATTCAATAATCCAAGAAAAGAGACCTGCTATGGTCTGAACCTTTGTGTCTCCCCCCCCCCCAAAAAATCTTCATATGTTGAAACCTAACCCCCAAAATAATAGTATCAGGAGGGGGGGATTTTGGGAAGTGATTAGGTCATGAGAGCAGAGCCCTCATAATTGAGATCAATGCCCTTATAAAAGAGACCTGAGAGAACTCCCTCACCCCTTCCACTGTGTGAGGACACAGCAAATAGACAACAGTCTATGAACCATGAAACAGGCTTTCATCAGACACGAAATCTGCCAGCACCTTGATTTTGGACTTCCCAGCTTCCAGAACTGTGAGAAATAAATTTCTGTTGTTTGTAAGCCATTCAGTCTACAGCATTCTGTTGTAGCGGCCTGAACTAAGACAGGTCAAGACAGAATATTATCTCATCACATTCTCTCTAATTGCATCAATGCAATTACTTTCGTTGATAGCTGAGTCTGTACTGCTGACTACTGTTCCATGCTGCTTAACCATCCCTGACTTCCCTCCTGAGCCCCAGGTCTGAGGTTTCTGCAGCTATCTCCTGGATAGCCTCCCGTAGAAGTCTCTCAGACCTCCCACATCCACCATGACCCCAACTGGCCTCAGTGTCCCTCCCAAACCTGCTCCTTCTCTCTGGTCCTCATCTCATGGACAGCCTCTTTGTCCCCCAGGACCCAGGGCAGAGTCTTGGCATTTTCCTAAATGCTTCATTCCTTCCATGGCTCACCACCCCCATGGCCCATTCACTAGGCCTCCTGAGCACCATCCTCTTCTGCTTAGGTCCCTGGCCTACTGCCTCCTTGGGGGTCTCTGCCTCCAGTCCTGAGCCATCCTCCACAGGCAGCCAGGGGCATCTTTCTAAAATCTGACCACATCCTTCAGCTTCTCAGCTCTGAGTGCTCCTCTGATAATTCCCAAGCACCATAACATGACCTCCGGCCTTGCCTGCTCTGGAGCTATCTCATTGTGGACAAGCTGGTCTGGCTGTTTGCTTTCATGTCCCCTCAGAGTGTATGCCCCCTGGGCCGCTATTCCTAGAGTGGAGGAGTGGAGAGAAGTGGTCAGAGGACTCCTATAGTCACTTCGCCCGAGAACTCTGGGCAGAGGCTGGAGATGAGCTCACTGGGTAGACAGGGAGTGGAGTATAAAGGCGCATTTGCTTTTTGTCTTTCAGCTTCCTCTTCCCCTTCTTGACAGCACAGTATCCTGGCAAGAACTGACCTTACATATGTACACACACACACACACACACACACACGCACACACACACACAGAGACCATGAGATTAGGGTGAGACTGACTGCCCTCAGCTCCAGGCATGGGCTCTGGTTTAAATCAATTAAGGTCGAATCCCTCTGGCAGTGGGTGGTAAAATGGTGAGCACATGACCCCATCCAATCAGAGTGACTGACAGGACTGACAGCCTGGGAACGTTGGAACTCCAGCCCTTTCTTTCTCTGGACAATAAGACACGTGGATGTGCAGCCTCAGACTGTGAGAGGGGTTGGCTTGAGGTCAGAGACCACACTCAGAGGAGGGCAGAGCTGGGAAAGCTACAGAAAAATGGAGCCAGAATCCTATGAATTGAGGACTTCTGGATCACACTGTACCTGAAGCCTATGTTGACAAAACCCATATATTACCCTATCCATGTGGACCATTTGAGTGAAATTTTTGCTACTTGCAATAAAACAAAGACCCTAACCTCTCCAAAGTCCCCTCCTTAAGCTAGACACCAGATAGGAGTTACTATCCACAACATTTAATGACTGGGACTAAGCCTGGGCACTGAACAATTAGAACAGAATGCAGGCCATAGCAACAGGCCTGGGTCATGGAGGACACTGCTGGACTGCAGAGAGGTTGGGGGCACCCTGGGGAGGGGCTGCGTTGACAGACACATGGAGAAACCACTCTTTACTAGCTTGCACAGAAGGAATTTGGTATATTTTAATTACCTATGTGGCTGTGTGCTCTGAAGGAGAAGCAAAAATTCAAGCAAAACAGAAAGGAAGGCTTGGGATGGGTGACAGGTTGAATTTCCAAAATGGCCCAAGAAGTAAGGGATGAGGGTGGGTGGGGGTTGGGTGGGGCAGGTAAAAGGCTCAGGTTAGTGGCTTCTTCACCATTTCCTCCTCAGGTGCAGCCTTGTTTTTCTGTGCCACCTTGGAGCTGTCTCTGGAGCTAACACTGGCATTGGTCCCAGATGTGCTGCTGACTCTGGAAGAGGTGCTGTGGGTGTAGTAGGATTCTGTGGTGAGTATGCTGTTGATCTTCCAGCGGAGGATGTTGCAGCTTCTCACCACCAGGGGCAGCAGGAGGCAGATGATGATGTAGAGGAAGATCAGGCTGAGAAATACGCTGGTTGACACCTGTGGGCGCCACACACAACAGGCATGGGTGGGAAGCTTGGGGGCCACCTCCACCCCGCAGGGCAGCTCCTGGAAAGCCACTCACTATGAGGATGAAGAGGGCCCGCTTGGCACTGAGTGGAAGCCCGTGGATATGCAGCAGGAAGATGAGCTGGTAGTCACAGTAGGTGCTCTTGTCCACACCTCTAGTGGAGGAGGGGTTTGGGATTGGGGAGGAGTCAGCCACCACACAGGAAGCCCCTGACCCCACCTGGGCCATATGCCTGGCTCACCTGTTGCTCACCAACACCTTGAAGAAGAATTCAGGGGCGAAGATGCTATGGGGAATGGTGTCATGGCATGGGGAATTCTCCAGACACAGCCACCTGAGGGCCCAAGTTCAGGCACTTGTGCTGCAAATCATGCCTAGCACAGGCCAACCCCTGATTTTTCCTTCCACCCCACAAACCCTGGGTGGGCACCAACTAGGTACAATTTAATACCTTCTTCTCTGATTCACTCCTTCATCCATTCATGCAATACGGCTGGCTGAACGAGCAGCAAGCGACAGGCCATATGTTTACTCATTCATTTCCTCCTGCCTCACATGCCCATCTGTCAAGTCCTCCGTTACTATGCCTTCATCTAGATTATGAATTGTACACCTATTATGTGCCAACTCCTCGCTTATTCCTTGCTGCCTTCATTTTTTTTTTAAAGATTTTATTGGGGAATTGGGGGAGGGGAACAGCGTTGGGGAATCAGGGAAGGGGAACAGACAAGTTGCTGTCCTTTTGTTCTTCAGTCTAGTTGTGGAGGACGTCGCTTCACTGGCCCATGTTGGTATTATCATTGCGCTCTTCCTGAGTGAGGCAGTCGCTCGCCCGCCATTGGACGGCCTCTCACGATGGCTCACGAAAGTGCATGCCGACTGCCAGCCAGCCCCACTGCAGCCTACACCGTTGCCGGCGACTCACAGCAGCCCAGCTCCAAGTGGAGCTGTTGTTCACCATCTTAGCTGTAGAGGGCAGCATCACTGGCCCTTATGTGGGATCCGAACCGGGGCCCTGCTGCTCAGAGCTGGCGTCCCAAGCCAACTCTTAACCAACACGCCACTCGGCTGGCCCTGCCTTCATTCTTTCATCCCACAAATACAGCTTGAACACCTACTAGGTACAAAGTCATTAATTGATTCTTTCCTTTATTCATTTATTTTAAAAAAATAGGTTGAATACTGACTAGATGCAAATTGGTTACTTTGTTTATTCACTCCTTTCACTTGCTCATGGCATCATTTTCTTCCTTTCATTGAATCAAAAATTGAGTCCCTATGCACTAATTTGTTCCTCCACTGTTTTATTCATTCATCAAGACCTCCACTCAAATGTCAATAAATGCCTACCATGAATTAATTAATTTTTTCATTGTCTTATTCCACAAATACTATGTTGAGTTTATTCAGGACCTGGACCTATAAGAGAGAAAGCCCCCGCAGGAGACAGTGACTGCCAGAGGGGTCAGGGCTGGGATGGGGTAGCACAGGAGAACGTTAGAGCCCACTCTCCCATCTAGAACAGTCAGAAAAATCCTCCTGGATAAACAGGCATCTGAACAAAGGCCTAAAGAAAAAGTGAGAGGGACCAGCACTGCAACAGAGGGTTCAGCTTATGTAAAGGTTAGCCTCATTTGAGGAACACAAAGACAGTCAGTGTGGATTGAGGATCAAGAGGTCTCCCATAGGCAGAAGGAATGGACAGACCCGACAAATTATGGGCAGGTGGGGGGTGAGGGGGCCTGTAGCCGGGCAGTGCACTCACTCGATGCCCAAGCTCTGGTGGGACATGATGTTGAAGGCCAAGTCCTTGGTGGTCGTTGTGTTCTTTGTAGTCCAGATGAGGCTGTCGGTGCTGTGGAGGACCAGGTAACCTCAGTGGGGGTAGGGCGAGCACAGCGGGAGGCCAGCAGTGTGTGTGTCAGGGGGAGGAGGGGAATGAAGCCTTTCGTGGGCAGGGTCTCACATTGTGGGTGGGGCAAGAGTTTGTGGGATCCTAGGAACTTGCTGTGGGCGAGGCCTGAGATACCGAGGTGGGTGGGGCTTGCAGCGAGGGTAAGGTGTGGCTGCGAAGCGGGTGGGATCTGCAGGGGAAGGAAGACCCCATTATGGGCCGCGGGGTCCCACAGGGATTACTTGTCCAGGGGGCTGTTGAAGCGGTAGATCTCCTCCTCGCTGTATTCCCTGATGGTGTCCAGGGTGGGTCCGCCACCCACCACCTTCAGCACGTAGCTGCCAGGAACAGAGGTGCACGCTGACTGGCCTTGGTGTCCGGAGTCCTGTGTCAGCTCTACCACACAGCCTCCACTCCACCCTCTACCCACCTCCCCTCTCCGTCAGCCCCTGGCTTGACCAGGCCTTTACCTGCCCTGAAAACTGCCAGAGTCTCCTGTCACCAAATCTTGGATCAAGAAGAAGGGGTAGAAGACTGTGGGATCAGAGGGGGTTGAGGCAAGGGGAAGAAATTAGCTTGGCCTGAGAAATGGAGGATGAGAGAGGAGGAAAGAACACTGACCAAGGGAAAAGCAGAGGATGGATGGGGAGATGAGCAGGCAGGGAGGAAAGGCCAGAAGGGCAAAGTGATGGGGGCAGAGGACAGTGAACAAGGCAGAGGAGGGGACTGGACACCCACTATCACGGAAGAGGAAGCAGGGCATCTCGGGGTCGAGGTGCACGCAGTCGAAGTAGTGTTTGTTCTGCAGGCGGTTGTACTCCAGAGTGTAGGTGATGTCAAAGGCCAGACGTTTGCCCGGGGGGCAGCCGATAAACAGTGGCACCATCAAGTTGCCCTGAGTGGGAGGAGAAAAGCCTGGCGCTGGAGGGTGGGGCGAGGAGGACATCCCTCCTCCCACACACACCACCACTACCTGCTAGGCTCACCCTCACCAGGGACAATCCCAGCATTATTTTCCTTAAAACAATACTCTATAACTGCAAACACTTATGTAGTTCTTACTGTGGGCAAGGCACTGGGTGATGTTCTAAGCACTTGATATACTTAAATGCATTTGACCCTTAAAACAGTCTTGCATGGTAGAGACTATTAATATCTCCATTTTAGAGATGGCAAAAGTGAGACACAGGGAGGTCAAACATCTCATTAATCACCCAAAGCCACACAGCTGGTATGTGGTAGAGGTGGGATTCAAACTCAGCCAGGTAGCTTCCAGCTGTGTCCAGAAAAAGACATATAAAAGCAATAACACCTACACCTATGGAACATCTAACTCCTAGTCTGACTTTATAGGGCTGAAGTTGGGCCTGAATTCTCAAACAACAGACCTGGGGAAGCATGGGATATATAAGGGAAGTAGAGCCCAGGATGTGGGGCCAGGAGTAAGGGAACCCCAGTTACATTGTCTTCAGAATAAGTGGCTACTGGCCTATTCGGGGGTAAGGCCCAAGAGTTTCTCCCAATTGTCAAAGGGACATGGGCATCTGGAAACTGTGACCTGGGCTTGTTGGTGACTATGGAGAGGGATAGGTGGCCATAGATTAAGCACTTCCCATGTTAGGCCTGGGCCAGACTTTACACCTATCAACCACTTACTCACTGGGAGTTCTAATGGGCCTCTCCAATTTAGTCATCCATAGCCCATCTCAGCTAATGGCACCTCAGACCTCCATGTTCAGGCTGAAAGCCTTGGCCTCATCCTGGAAACCTCTCTCTCATCCCCATATCCAGTCCATCTGGAAAGCTTGTTGTCTCAAGACTTCCAAACAGAGCCATTCCCTGCCCCAATCCCTCCACTCCTTTGCCCCACCTTTGCTTGCCTAACTTTGTTTCCTCCCAGGTCTACCCTCCAACCCCGCCCATCTGTCCCCTACATGCAACCAGAGGGACCCTACGATCACTTGAGTCACTCCTCTGCTCAAAGCCCTCCCGTGGTGCCATCTTGCTCACTACGACCCACTAGGCCTCCTGTTATCCGCCCCCATCACCACTGTGACCTCATTTCTTGCCACTTTCCTCCTTGCTTGCCCTGATCCAGCCACACTTGCTCCTCCATGTTCTTTTAGTCTAACACATAAACATACTCCCATTTCCAGGCCTTTCTGCCATCCATTTTCTCTTGCTGGCATGCCTTTCTGGCATGTAACCACATGGCTTACTTCTTCCTCTCCTTCAAGTCTTTGCTCAAATGTTTCCTCCTCGGCCAGGACTTCCCTGAGCCATCCTATGAAAAATGCTGACCTATCACATGCCCCGTGCCTATTTTCGTCCTAGCTCTCGTCACCTCTTAACACACAATATCTTTTATTTATCTTGCTATTTGTCTGACTCTCTGTTGTGGGTTGAATTGTGTGTCCCAAAAAGATATGTAGAGGTCCTAATCCCGTGGTACCTGACAATATGACCTAATTTGGAGTAGGGTCATTACAGATGTAATCAAGTTAAAATGAGGTCATACTGGATTAGGGTGGGACCTAATCCAATGACCTGTGTCCTTATGAGAAGAGGGAAATTTAGACACAGACCCACAGGGATGAGGCCTTGTAAAGAAGAAGGCAGAGGGCCGGCCGAGTGGCGCGATGGTTAGGAACTCGCTTGGGATGCCAGAGGACCCCGGTTCGGATCCCACATAGGAGGGCCAGTGACACTGCCCTCCACAGCTAAGATGCTGAACGGCAGCTCGACCTGGAGCTGGGCTGCCGTGAGTCGCCGGCGGCGGCGTAGGCTGCAGTCCCTGTGGCAGTGGGTTGCCATGGGCTACCGCGTGTGGCCGGCAGCCAGCGTGAGCGGCCAGCAGCCGCAGTGAGCGGCCGTCCAGAAGCCGGCGACTGATCTGCCTCGCCAGAGAAGAGCACAATGATGGTGCCAGCTTGGGCCAGTGAAGCAACGTCCTCCACAACTAGATTGAAGAACAAAACGACAGCAACTTGTCTGTTCCCCTTCCCCCAATTCCCCAGCGCTGTTCCCCTCCCCGCAATTCCCCAATAAAAATCTTAAAAAAAAAAAAAAAAAAGAAGAAGGCAGAGGTTGGAGTGATGTGTCTACAAGCCAAGGACTGTCAACAACCACCAGAAGCCAGGAGAGAGGCCTGGAACAGATTCTCCCTCAGAACCTCCAGAGGGATTGACCCTAATTTTGGACTTCTGACCTCCATAACTGGGAGAAAATAAACTTCCCAGCTAGTGGCAATTTGTTATGGCAGCCCTAGGAATGAATACACTCCCCCTACTGCGACATCAGTTTCACAAGGACAGAAATTCTGTCTGTTCTGTTCACTGCTGTAACTCCAGCTCCTGAAACAATGCTGGCATGCAGAAGGCACTCAATGAATATTGGTTGAATAAATGATTAAGCTTCTGGCACAGGATGTGAAACCTGTTCCTGGTCTGTCCCCTTGATCCAAGCCCCAGCCCCATTCTGCCATGTGGGCCCATCTGTGGAGCTGGCCTGCTGAGACACTCCAAGCCTTTATTCATCTAATTGAATTTGATTGAGCACTTGTCATGTGTAAATTCATTTCTTCCTGTCTTCATTCAACATATTTTCACACTGAGAAACCACAGTTATCAATTACTTCCAGTTTTCATTTTTTTCAGCATGGAGAGCCAGAGAGAAGCTCCAAGCCTTCCAAATACACATGCCTCTGGTAATGTGGGGGTGGGGAGAAAGAGGGACGAGAAACCTGAAAGGCCCCAGTCTGAAAATACGAAGAAAAAGCTCAGACTACCTTCAGCACCTCTGTTTCCCTGTCTGTTATTATTTTTTTTAATCATTGGCTTTTTTTAACTTAATTTTTAGATGGATACATGGTCACATATGTATATATATATATATATATATATATATATATATATATATCCCCCCATATATAGTGAAAAGTTCGCTTCCATTCCAGTCCTCCAACTGTCCTGCCTCTCCTCCATTCCCAGAGACAGAACCACTATGAATACTTTCTTGCCCATTTTTCCAAAATGTCTTCATTCAAGTAAAAGCAAGCATGAATATATGTTCTCAATGAATCTCTTTCATGCTGTTTTTTCTACACTGTTGTGTGCCCTGCTTTTTTCTCTTAAGAGTAAAATACTTTGGAGACTGTTTCATACCAGTATGTGGAGATTTTCATTTCTTTTTTTTTTTTTTTACGGCTGCATAATTTTCCATTGCATGAACTGCCGTAATTTGTTTAACCACTCCCCTGTTAAAGGACATTTAGGTTGTTTCCAACCTTTTGCTGTTAACAGTGTGTCACATATTAGATTCCCAGAAGGAACCTGCCAGGTAAAAAATGGGAGTGCTAACTTTGACCTTCTAGGGTTATGATAAAGAGGGAAATGATGCCTATCATTAAACATAACATTAAACTCTTATGGAGGCTGAGGTCAGTCACTCTTCTCTGCGCTTGACCCAGATTATCTCATGTAATCCAAGGAGATAAGGGCTGTTACAACTCCCTTTTTTACTGCCAAGCCAGGGTCATACCAAGCCAGGAGGGAAGAGCACCAGGGTCTGTCTGCTGGAAACTGGGTGAGAACAAAGCCTCTGGGTCAGGTCCCTCTTCTACCATTTATTAGCTCCCTGACTTACTCTGAGCAGATACGAGGTCTGACAATTATGTTCATGAACTTGCCACCGTGCACTTACATGGGCAGCACTGTACAAACAGCTTGGTAAGGTTTCATAACCTTGGTATATCAGTGTCTCACAGCTGTGTTCGCGTCGACGTGTGGCGGTGTCTTGCTGAGTGGCGTTCATTATTGTTGTTGCGTGTTTTTGTGTGCTGTTGCAAGAATGTCTGAGCTTGAATTAGAGCAAGGAACAAACATTAAATTTCTTGTTCAACTTGGAAAGAGTGGAAATGAAATCAGGGACAAGTTAGTCCAAGTTTGGGGTAATACCATGAAGAAAACAGCAGCATACAAACGTTTTTCTGAAGGGAAAGAACACATCACTGATGAAGAGAGGTCAGGGCTGTGACTAACAAGCAGAACTGACAAAAACATTGCAAAAATTCGTCAAATTGTGCGTCCAAATCATCGGCTGACTGTGAGGAGCATAGCAGGCCAAGTGAACAATAGAGAAACAGTTAGGAAAATCTTAACTGAAAATCTTGACATGAGAAAGGTGTGGGCACAAATGGTCCCAAAGGAGCTCATCGATGAACAAAGGCAAAGGAGAGTCGAAGTTTGCCAAGACCTTTTGGAGAGGCAAAAGATGATGTTTTGGGCCATGTTATCACTGGTGATGAAACATAGGTGTACCAATCCGACGCTGAAACAAAGTGTCAAAGTGCACAATGGAAGCCAGCCAATTCTCTACAACCAAAAAAGTTCCGTTAGTCCAAATCAAGAGTCAAAACAATGTTGCTAACCTTTTTTATATCAGAGGGATTATTCATTATGAATTTGTACCAACTGGACAAACAGTTAACTAAGTTTACTATTTGGAAGTGCTGAAAAAGTGGCGTAAAAAAGTTAGGCGAAAACAACCTGAATTTTTCGCCAACAATTCATGGCTCTTGCATCACAACAATGCACCAGCTCACATGGCACTGTCTGTGAGGGAGTTTTTAGCTAGCAAGCAAATAACTGTATTGGAACACCCCCCCCTACTTTCCTGATCTGGCCCCCAATGATGTCTTTCTTTACCCCAAGATAAAGAAAATATTGAAAGGAAGACATGTGGATAACATTCAGGACATCTAGGGTAATACAACGACAGCTCTGATGTCCATTCCAGAAAGAGTTCCAAAATTGCTTTGAAGGGTGGACTAGGCGCTGGCATCAGTGCATAGCTTCCCAAGGGGAGTACTTCGAAGGTGACCATAGTGCTATTCAGCAATGAGGTATGTGGCACTTTTTCTAGGATGAGTTCATGAACTTAATTGTCAGACCTCAAATATGCACCTCTCTGAGCTTCAGTGTCTGCCTCTGGGCGAAGGGGCTATTGCATGAGTAAGCAAGTGAAGAACCAAGGACCAAAGGCGTGAACAAAGCATGTGTGAGTGGGCAAATCAACAGTGACATGTCAAAGAAGGGCCAAGCTGGCCACACAGTGCCTTTGTGCCAATTGGAAAAGGAAGTCCTGTGTCATAGATACTTTACTTCTCCCTGCAGAAAAGTATCAGAAGGAACATACAAGCTTGGGTGCATTCTACACAACCATAAAGGCAGACCTTTCTGAAAACAGAAAAGGATGAAAGGAATGATGAGGTGGGTGGGGTTCCCAGGAGAATCAACCCTGTGGAGGCTCCACCCGACCTTTCCCTCCCAGCACAGGGCCCAGTACCCCAAGCGCCAATACTTGCATGCGGGGCCCCTGGATCGTGTTCTGGAAGCAGTGCCCAGCCGAGCTCGCCACCTGTGGGTAGAAGCAGATGATGATGGTGAGTCCCATGGGCCGTCTTTCTCCTAATCCGCATCCCTCCTCTCCAGGCTTGGACCGCACCTTGACCAAAATGGAGGTCTTCATGAGGTGATGTCCACTAATATCCTGGTTCAAGCAAAAGCTGTTATCACTGAGCGTAACCTGGGGTAGGGACGAAAATAAGGGGGTCAACAGGCGTGCCAGACGACTCAGGGACGATTTAAGTAACCGCGGGCTTCCAACAGGTCCACTGCCCCGGGAGATCTGCCCCTGAACCTCCTCACCGCCTGGTCTCACCCAGAAAAGCACCGAGTTGCTATCAGTAAGGACATTCTGCTTCACCACCGCTTCAGTGCAGTTAGGATTGGACAGCACCACGCCCAGCTCCACCTGCCTCTGCAGCTGGAAGCTGTTGCCTGTTTAGAGCACGGGGGTGA